ATGGCCAATCCCGCGCCCATGCGCATGCTAGCAATGACTAGCCCTGAACAAACTATATATGCGTTTGTATGACATAGATTAGCCAATCTATAATTATGAGCAGCTCAGTCTCAGAAACGCTTTTGTGGGGCCACTTCCTGTGCTTTGCCCCGCCCTCAAGCTGCGGTCTGAACTGTGCAACTTGAGGACCTGACGGAGTCATGTGCCTCAGCTTTCTGACCGAAGCTTTTGTTTGCAAAAAATGGAACAGCTTGTGATTCGTCAGAAACCAGCGCTTGAGCGATGTCAGCCTGCTTGCAGGAAGTTCGAGCAACGATATACATTGGAATGCCAGCCGGCCAAAGCGCCAGGCATGATGTATCTTTTTGGGAGCGCAGCTAAGTAGAGAGGTCGCAACTTGGAAATGGCTTAAGTGGGGGGGGATTCTTGATTTCTTGAGGGGGGACCTAAATGGCATTTCTTTGAACTTGAGAACATTCGGAAATCTGCGACTCGAGTTCTGCGAGTCTGTTGGGTGGGCCGATCCTTATCGCCTCCCGAAGCGAGGGCCAGGCGCCAAGTTTTTCAAGATGTTTCCGTGCTCGATACAGCCTTGTGGAACAGGCGAGGATTGTTCTTGCTGCACAAGATTTCCTGGTACGGACAAGGTAGTTTATGGGGCGGGTTTTCCCGCGAGTCAGAGAACTTTAGCAAACCCCCAGCGTAATCTCTTGTAAACTTTGTTAGCCAGGGTTATTGACGATTTTGCGGTTCCCGAACCATTCAAGCGCTCTTGCGCTCCACATATATGCGCGCGCCTCCTCGTCGGCTCGCCTTCAAAACTCGCAGAACTGAGGAGAGGCGCAAGTTTCCGGCGTGCCTTGGGCAAAAGGCCGCCTGAAAAAATCCAATTTTTCCGACGATGCTTCTCTTTCAGCCCGCCCGGCCTGCTGCTTCCATGCATACCCTGCAATCTCGCCGATGGGGGACGTGCTCATTCTCAACATGCAGCTTCCACTGCTCTTCTTTCGTCGGCCCCCTCGCTGCCTTCACCCGCAACTCCTCCAGCGTCTCCCGGTTGACCCGTTGTAGGCCTGCTTTGACCACCTCCTTCAGCCCAGGTGCCCAAGCCGCCCATGTCGCTGACTCCTTAATGCGATCTACTGAACCTCCCCGGCCAGTTTGATCAGGTCCAGCAACACCATGAAGCGCCATCACCTCCGTCTGTGGTTGTGAGCATCGTCGTCGGCTTCCTCCGCTCATGTCCCATCGGATCAAGCTTCGCCATGAGCATCTTGTTCTCCGCCTCAAACTCCCTTGTCTCCGGCCAGGCCCAAAACGAAGCCCACCCTGTCGCCAGCTGCTTTGTGCCCTTTCCAGCCTCCCCCGTTCCCAGCCACTCCTCTGGATCTCTCTCTTGCGTGAAGGCTGGATCTGTCCAACCTTTCCCCTTTTCGCATCCCGGGCCACCTCGAAGAGCACCATCGGCATCAGCCACAACGCCGAATCCTGATGCACCTTCAGCTGCTCCTCCACCAAGAGACCATCCAGTCCAACCTCTGCCCAGCGGTACTTCCACTTGGCCATCACCGTCTCCTCTGCTTGGGACAGCTTGCATATCCTCCTCCGGTTCAGGTTGAAGTTCTCCAAATCCTCAATCAATTGAAGCGCCTCTTCCCCCCGAACCATAGGCAGCCATTCTTCACGCTGGGTGTTTCACGATGCACCCCTTCTTGCTCCAAGTGATGCCGTAGCCCATCTCTACCAGCCCCGCCAGCGGCACAATAGGCTCCACCTGCTGCGGCGACAACAGCGTTCGGGTATCCTTCACTAGGCCACCTTGAAGTTCCCCTTCCTGGCTTGCCGAAGAGCATGAGTAGCTCCTCCCAAGAGCCCAAACAACTCCTCCTCGGCCACTCGGATCGCCTTCACCGTCCTCAAGGACTTCAGCAACCCTGTGAGCAACTCCTGAACATGCTCCCTTTCCGTCCAGGTCCCTCTGCCCCAGGCTGCTCCTCAACTACGCCCTTTTCCGCCGCAACCTTTCTGCTGCTGTGACTGCTGCTGCGGCTGCTGCTGCTGCTCGCCACCCTGTTTGGTTCCGCTGCCTCATGCTTGAGCAAATCCAGCACCGATTCCGGTCAACCGCCGAACAGCCATAGCTGTAGTTGCAGTTTCGGCCCATCTTGCATCCTCTCCCGCCCGCAAAGAATCCACAGACCTTCTTGTCACCTTCCTTCCGCGGAGTTTGAGCCTCCGCTTGCTTCATACTCTTTACCTTCGGCCCCTTCTCCTCTGGCTTGGAGGCGACCATCACCTCCACTTCCGCTTGAATGAACTCCGCCAGGTGAACGATGCTTTCCTGCGTCGGCGAGACGTCCACCCCCAGGCTGTTCCGCAACAGACTCAGCTGAAAGTGGACCTGGCTTCCCTCCTTCGCAATGCTATTGGTCATTCCGTCCAGCGCCCTCAGCAGCAATGACGGGTCCGGCATCGCCAACTTCAGCTCCGTGTCACCTTCGGCTCCACCAAGTAGTTGAGCAGGCTCTGCCTCTCCGCCGGCCCCCCAGGCTGATACATCGTCAGCACCTTGTCCTGCTGCCAACATGGCCTTCACATCTTCTGGCCAAAAGTCCATAACGCCCTTGACCTCCACCACCTTCTCATCCACCGTCTCCGGAACCACGTTTGCCCTGATGTCCAGTCCCGGCGGTGGCGCCGGAACCTTGCCCCCGAACTCATCGGATCTTTCCCACGTCAAAGCCCATTCATCTCTGGCCCTCGTCGCCGGTACCATCTTCAAGCCACCCGTCTCGAAGTCCTTCTCTCAGGTGTACAGCTCCCCTTCCACCCTGGACTAACCACCTCCTTCAAGACGCAGAGCACCTCTGCCTCCTCACCAGGAATTTCCGTACCCCCGGGGCTTCTCCGGTGTCCTCGGTCTCGGCGGATGCGGTGACCTCGTTCTATCCCAACGTCCACCTTCTCCACGCCCTCCACCAGGCTCCATTGGTGTGTGGAAGTCATCAGTGTTCCACTCCCCATCATGTCTCCCACCGATCCCACCATGACCGCCAACTGCACAACTCATCCTGACCCTCTTGAAGCTGTACCGCCCGGGATGAGGCAAGGGCAGCAACTAGGGCTGGCTTCAGGCCGATGGAGCTTGACATGGTTTGGATTCCGGCAACGAAGACGTGGATTTCGGAAGGGAACCTGCCGTCGGGCTTGAGGTTTGAGGATGACGAGGAGTTTGACGTGCAGGAGGCCATGGAGAAGCAGCTTATGCTGGCTTGCAGGATGATGGAGAAGGGGCCACCTCAGAGGAACCATTGCCGAGAAGGACCAGACGCTAGAAAGGCGGAACAACACGATCAACCAGTTCTTGGCGACCGGACAATTCTGCGCCTTTCCCATTACAAAGTCCCGGAGCCTTGCCTCCAATGGGCACCGAACGACCTTGATGTCCATGACCTTGACAGCCCGCCCCCCTTCTCCGTGCTCTCGAGAAAGCTCTGTTCCATCTTGGGCGGCGTGTGCACCTCCGTAGATTGGGTACCTATCTCGAGGGGCTTCTCCATGACCTTCTCCTCCACGATCTTCACCTTCTCTTCCTTCCGGATGTGGGCCTGAGCCCGAGCCTGGTGGCCACCCTCCAAGCGCACCACGCCATCGCTACTGCTCCCTCTTTCATGAATCGCCCCATCATTCGGCTCGATCTCCCTCTCAAGCTCCTCCTTCAAGCAGCTCCTTTTCACATCGCTCCAGAATTCGGACCTGCCGTTCGGCGCCTCAGGATGTCGCCACCCTTCTTGATCTTCCTGTGGAGGGCCCCCAACCTCTGACCCTTCGGGAACCCCAGGCAGATTCTTGCGGGTTTGCTCCGCCTCGGCCGGTTCACCCGCATCCCTTTCCCTGACCTTGCCGTCGCCACCTCACCGCTTAATTATGGGGACCTCCCCCTCCGGCTCGGCCACCAGGATGCCCATGCCGGCCGCGTCCACTGACCTTGCCCTCCGTCTCCTCATGCCGGGATGCATCGCGGGCCTAGTCAAGAAGCGTTTGGGCTCATAACCTACGTGCGCAGCACCGCGCGATCTGTTGCCTTGAGCCACGGTTTGAAGTGCGACCGTGTTGTCCAACGGTTTCACAAAGGCAGAACACCCGTGGAACAAACACGTAGAGCGGCTTGTTCCCAAATGCGCAGCAGAAGGGTTGCGGAAATAGACAGGGGGCTGGGCCAGATGCGTCGCTGCGTCCGCAAGCATTCGCAAGCGTAAGTTGCCGTGCCATAGGGATTCCTTTCGATCTTCAAAAGAACAAACCAAAGGGGGGCCATTGTTGTCAAGGAAAGACAGGGTTCAGCAAGCTTGTGCAATGCCGGACGTGTTCGCACTACTTTAATGGCCATTAGAAGTAGACTTGACTCTGGAGATCAGCTGCTCTGACTTTGCAAGGCGAATTATTGATTGGCTCATACCTACTTGACTTTCACTTTTGTCAGCTGGGTGCGCAATTTGCGGAATCTGCGTTTTATGGCTTGTATTTAGCCGCTAGGTTATGCACCGTTCATTGTGATTTCAATCTGGGCCCTTTCGTTCCTGACTCGTGACACCGGCTGGCATTCCGGAAGGTCGGCCATCTCAGGAGACAGATGGGCAGCTTGCCTTTCCCTGGGATGAACACCCCGAGAGGCAGCAGCTGATGAAAGGCGAGGGATCGATCTTCCAGATACTTGACGTTGCTTCACCCATGAATGGCCAGCTGCTCGCCCAACGGGCTAACGTGGTTGTTCCCATGAGGTAGGACGCAGGACTTGCATGCTGGTAGGCAATGCGCCAGCAAGATCAAAAAGATTAATTTGCAGTGAAGGATATTTCGCATAGAGGAATGAACTTTCTTGCATGGGTGAGTCGATTGCTGTTAGCTCCGTTGCCTTAATTCGCTCTGTGAACAGCAGCCCCGAGGTCTGAGATTCCCTCCAATCTCATAGGCAATTCTAGGGGACAGATCCGCATGTGATGGAGGCGGCAGGAGGCGAGCCTCGCTCAGAGCAGGAGGCAAGCCCGTAGTTTTTTAATTGGAAGAGGGTACGGCAAGGACGTGAGGCTCGAAAGCAGACTTCAGCTGGCCACTGGTGTTGCGGTGGAAGCACGGAAGGGCTGGTGCTGCGGGTGCTGCTGGTGCTGCTGGTGCTGGTACTGCTGGTAGCTGCTGGTGCTGCTGGTGCTGCTGGTGAGGGTGACGCCCACTGTGCTGGCAAAGCTGATTTCTCGCAACGCTGTTGACTGTTGAAGTGGATGATCATATCACGTCACGCTGGCATCCCAGCTGCTTTTGGGATCTGGCAAGCCTCCATTTTTTGCATTTGCTTAAGATGCCCATGTCGGGAATGTGCTCACCCCTTTGCTTAAGGTCAGCATCAGCACTCCTCCCACCCAGAAAATACCTGAGATTGCTTTGTATCAAATCCGGTGAAGTGCCCAAAACGGTTGCTTTCTTTTCGGTCCCTCTTCAAACAAATCCACCCGCAGGTCCTTGGATGCGGTCCGACATCCAGAGCCGTTCGTTCGATTCGCGAGGCCCGGAGCTCATCAAGACCCTGGGCTTCCTGGGCGCCGAGGCAGCCAGCACCGAGCCCATCAAGGCGCAGTTCATGCAGCGCCCTGGGCTGAAGAGCTGAGCTCGCTCGCTCGCTCGGGTTGGTGTGGGGCATGCGTGCATGTTGTGTTTGAAAAACGCCTGGGATACATGTTACACCAGTTTTTATGATGGGAGTTAGTTTGTCCATTCTGTAAGTCGGGTACAGGACATGACCGCATTCGCTGCAAAATACATAGGCTCTTGAAATATAGCTGCCATAGCTGGTGTGACATACGCCTCTCATCTTTAAACATTGGAATTTCGGGCTGATCGCTTGCTTCGGTTCATCATGGCGTCCAGTTTCCTCTGTACGCAATGCAAGTCGCGACCGCGCTTTGTGCCCACCCCATTGAAGGATGGCGCGGTGAGTTTTGGAAGCATGGATGTTTCAACAACGAGTGCTTCCCAGGCAAGTGGTGAAAGAGGCGACCGCCTGCCAAGTGCTCTTGCATGAGCGGGAAGCCCAAGAGGAGGACAAGTCCATCCAGGACGGGCGACTGGCGCCATCAATTGACAGGCACGGATATGTTCCTCACAATAGCATGGCTCAGAGTGGGAAAACAGCAAGCCCGAGTCTCTTTAAGCAGCAAGTCCAACAGAGACACGCTGCGAAATGCGGAGTGCTGTCATCATCCACTGACCCAAATCTCTTTTGGTCGATGTTCTCGTGGGCGTCTCAGCAGCGGTTATCACACCAGGCCTTTCGTGCATGGATCTCTAGAGAACGTTTCGGATGCGATTTTTGTGGATTTCACCTGCTCTTCCCCCTAGTGTTTCCTTTGTCCTCCTTAGGTACTCTTTTAATATCCTAGAGGGGTGGATCCACAAATGTCACATCCAAATGGTTTTCTGGAGGATCTGCTTCAGACCTGTTGCTGTGCAAACCCAGGAGACCTGGGCAGACGCCCTCTGCGTGGACGAGCGCAGCGGCGCCAACCACCTGGTCAAGGCTCGGGTCGGGGAGGTCGAGGCTTTGGCTGAAGTTTGGACTGTCCATGGTCTTTGGCCCGCGCAAGAAGCTGTTTCAGGGCTGAGCCTGAAAGAATTCGTGGCTGCATGTGTCACACCCTCGCAGATTCGACATTCCTGGTGGAATATCTTGCGTCACTGTAGAATGTTTTTCTTTGTTCACATGCTTGGTCACGACGAAACCGAGAGCTGTCGGCTGCTGTCTTTTCCCGTGAGTATCCTTGAGTGACTATATTGCCGATTGGGGAGGGGTCCGGAAAGCACTTCAGGCACCTCGATCCTTTGCACAGAAATGTACCAGTGGCCACGGGAACTGCCGGGTCAGACTCGCAACGTGAAGACAAGAGACTGGGCCAGCGCAAGTCTTCATTTTCAGTTGCCCTTCCAATAGTTCACTAGATACCGGAGAAGCTTCTCTTGGGGAGCCACTCTTGTCAGAGTCGTTGCCTTCATGCAATGGCGCAACGAAGGGGCCCAAGCTTCCAGCTGTAAAGTTCACTTGAGGCGACCTGCAGCACCAACAGGGTCATTCGCAGGGCTCAACCGTCACGCATGATATCCATCCCGCTGGGCTTAGCAGAAGGAGCCGTTACTTTCTTGTGAGCATGACTTAATTTGGCTTCAAGTCCCTCACAGCCTCATCCTAATGTTTGTGGCTCTACTCTGCGGGTGGGACCCACAGCCTTTGTGAGGTCTACCGGCGAATGGTGACCTTCTCAGAAGCCGCGCTGAAGGAAGCCAAGGAGGGGATGGAAGAGCTGGACCAATGATGGGTCGGCCCAAAGATGTCAGCTTGGGGTGGTGGGACACCCAATAGTTGGAATGATACATGGATATTTGGCTCGGATCTGGACCTTGTTTGCCTTGATGTTGGTGAGCAGTTGGCAAACAACAGGATGATTGAGGGTGGGCTGCTTGTTGTGGCGCAGATGGTATGTTCGTGCCATCACTTTGTCTCTTGCTGGGAATTCGCTAGTGGAAGCGAGGGCCAGTGACAGGCTCTTGGCGAGCTTTGTACATAAAGAAGGCTACCGCAGCTAGTCGACTGTTGCAAAAACCGCAACAGACGCACTGCCAGAGCAAAACAACGTGTCGCATGGGCGTATGCACGTTCTGCGACATGTGCGAGCAGAGCATGCAGCCGTCAACCGTACGGAGAGATGCCGCGGAGCAGCAGTTTGAACCTCGCCCAAACGTTTGGATTGCCAAGCACTATCCAAAAAGACTTACCAGGCAAGCCCAGTTTGCCCAGTTGCTTCCTAGGTGGCGCCTCTCAAGCCATTGCCGCGGAGGCGCGGTTTTGGTTGCGACCCGTCTCTTGCGTATGGCACCAGCGAGGTGGACTGGAGGCATGCCATGGTATCAGTCTGCTGGTGCTTTTCCACAAGGGCGCAAGCGACAAAGCGAATTGTACCTGCAATCCAGTGACTCCAACCATTTGCCAATTTCCGTACCCGTGTGATGTTTTATTCAGCACGTTGAGGCCCTGATTAATAGCGTCGCGGCTTCGGCGGAAGGCTCGCTGACAAGGCCGCACCTCTGGGGCACCTATCAACAGATCATCAACATCAAGCTTCCAAACGCTTCCGCAGCCTTCGGGTAGAGTGCTGGGCTTTTCAGGTTTGAACCCGTTCCCGCCATTGCCAGGCGGTGCGGCTGAGTTTGCGCGCCATGGCGGCGCACCGGAAGAGCCCCACTGCCTGGAAACCGAGACTTTGATAGGTGTATCGTGACGCAAGTGAGGATGTAGGCTTGTTGCTTCGCGACTTGTCTCAAGCAGGAAGCTTGGTGGGATATTTGATATTTGTGGTGATGTGTCAAGCTAGGTCAGGGCATTCAAACAACCCACAGGTTTTTGCTTGACAAGGTCTGAATTGACTGTTGGGCTGTTGGGACGGATCATTGCTCCTCCGGTGTTGCTTTTGCAAGGTTCAGCGTCTGTCCGTTTTACTCGGCGAGGAGGCATCATGGAAGGGCCATTTGGAGGCATCCCCAACACTTCCACCAACTAGAAGGGGTCCAATCAATAGCCCTTCCACCCTCCAACATGGCAGCACCTTTCGTGATGACGGCTTTCTTTTGGCCGGGCAGCACAAGTACCCCTTCTTGCAAGGAGCAGGTTTCCAGGAATGGTCCTTGCGAACGCACATCTGACCATCTTTTCCTTAAAGAACGGACACAGGACGCACCAAAACCGCCCGCAAGTTGGCCATTTTCGCCCAAGCCACATTTCTCAGCCCAGCCCAATGGCCGCGATCTGTGGATCAGGTGCAGGTCAACGGCTGCGAAGTGCTTCGCTGCCTGGCGGAGCTGGGACAGGCCGATGTATCAAAACACCGGACACGCGGTGAGGGATGTCCTTTTTGGGGGAACCTCGTCTTCGGTTGCATCATATTTTGTGTTTGACAAATTAAAGAAACAAATACATATGTGTGGAACCCCATCCACAGCAGGGTGGTCAGGCTCTGTACAGATTGTCATGCAGCGGAGTACACATTCATATAGAGACCATGAAATCTGCTGTTGATCAGCTACGTGTTGTGGCTGGCTTGTTCGATATCACCCGCGGCAATTTGCAGGTTACGGTTGAAAAGCAACACAAGTAGGGAATAAGGACTGGCCGGCAAGCAAATGGGGTTGTTCTGCTTGGGCTGCATGTTGTTGGGCCGAAGACGCAGGGTCCCCGAATTCCCCATCTTTCTATGAAGCAAACGCAAAAGACCAGCACATTCCTTCTTGGAAACCAGGACAAGTCTGAACTTGGCAAGATCTAAAGCTTTGTTTTGATTGAGCCCTTAGTACTGGGGCAGCGCCGCGAGCGCATGCATCAAGTTGTTTAACGTGGATTGCGTGGCAGGCCCCGCTGGATGAGCTCATGGAGGTGCGGGGAGGGCCCGGTGGCAGGGGAGGGCGGGCGGGGGGGGGGGGGGGTGGGCGCTGCTACAGGTCCTTAGCTTTGAGTCACCCACTTGGGGAGGCAGGTTTGATCTTCCCCCCTAGCCATCAACCACAGCGCGCCGTCTCAACAAAAGGCATCAACAGGCTTTGATCAGCATCAGCTTTCGATTCGCCCCGTAAGAGGGAAGATCATACCCTATGTGTCGTTCAGGCTGGCTCCAGCTTTGAGTGAATTGTTGAAGTGAAATTATAATGATTTTGCAATTATTGCAATTATTGGAATTGAATTCCAATAATTACAATAATTGCAATAATTTCAGGTCCTGGATTTTGCAATTATTGCAATTATTGGAATTGAATTCCAACAATTCCAATAATTGCAATAATTTCAGGTCCCGGATTTTGCAATTATTGCAATTATTGCAATTATTGGAATTCAATTCCAATAATTGCAATAATTGCAATAATTTCAGGTCCCGGATTTTGCAATTATTGGAATTAGTCGGACTGGCTTTGAGGCCAAATCTGGGATCAATTAATTATTGCAATTATTGCAATTATTGCAATTATTGCAATTATTGGAATTGAATTCCAATAATTGCAATAATTGCAACAATTTCAGGTCCCGGATTTTGCAATTATTGCAATTATTGGAATTGAAGTACAATAATTACAATAATTGCAATATTCGGAGGTCCCGGATTTTGCAATTATTGCAATTATTGGAATTGAATTCCAATAATTGCAATAATTGCAATAATTGGAGGTCTTGGATTTTGCAATTATTGCAATTATTGGAATTATTCGGCCCGGCTTTGAGGCCAAATCTGGGATCAATTAATTATTGCAATTATTGCAATTATTTCAATTATTGCAATTATTGGAATTGAATTCCAATAATTGCAATAATTGCAATATTCGGAGGTCCCGGATTTTGCAATTATTGCAATTATTGGAATTGAATTCCAATAATTGCAATAATTGCAATAATTTCAGGTCCCGGATTTTGCAATTATTGCAATTATTGGAATTGAATTCCAATAATTGCAATAATTGCAATAATTTCAGGTCCCGGATTTTGCAATTATTGCAATTATTGGAATTATTTGGTTCGGCTTTGAGGCCAAATCTGGGCAATTATTGCAATGCAATTATTGAATTATTGCAATTATTGCAATTAATTCAATAATTGCAATAATTGCAATAATTTCAGGTCCCGGATTTTGCAATTATTGCAATTATTGGAATTGAATTCCAATAATTGCAATAATTGCAATAATTTCAGGTCCCGGATTTTGCAATTATTGCAATTATTGGAATTGAATTCCAATATTTGCAATAATTAATTGCAATAATTGCAATAATTAATTGATCCCAGATTTGGCCTCAAAGCCGGGCCAACTAATTCCAATAATTGCAATAATTGCAAAATCCGGGACCTCCGAATATTGCAATTATTGCAATTATTGGAATTCAATTCCAATAATTGCAATAATTGCAAAATCCGGGACCTGAAATTATTGCAATTATTGCAATTATTGGAATTCCAATAATTGCAATAATTGCAATAATTGCTATACTTAATTGATCCCAGATTTGGCCTCAAAGCCGGGCCGACTGATTCCAATAATTGCAATAATTGCAAAATCCGGGACCTGAAATTATTGCAATTATTGCAATTATTGGAATTGAATTCCAATAATTGCAATAATTGCAAAATCCGGGACCTCCAATTATTGCAATTATTGCAATTATTGGAATTGAATTCCAATAATTGCAATAATTGCAAAATCCGGGACCTGAAATTATTGCAATTATTGCAATTATTGGAATTGAATTCCAATAATTGCAATAATTGCAATAATTGCAATAATTGCAATAATTGCAATAATTAATTGATCCCAGATTTGGCCTCAAAGCCGGTCCGACTAATTCCAATAGTTGCAAAATCCGGGACCTGAAAATATTGCAATTATTGCAATTATTGGAATTCAATTCCAATAATTGCAATAATTGCAAAATCCGGGACATGAAATTATTGCAATTATTGCAATTATTGGAATTGAATTCCAATAAATGCAATAATTGCAAAATCTGGGACCTGAAATTGGTGATTGTAATTATTGGAATTGAATTCCAATAATTGCAATAATTGCAAAATCCGGGACCTCCGAATATTGCAATTATTGCAATTATTGGAATTCAATTCCAATAATTGCAATAATTGCAAAACCCGGGACCTCCAAATATTGCAATTATTGCAATTATTGGAATTCAATTCCAACAATTGCAATAATTGCAAAATCCGGGACCTGAAAATATTGCAATTATTGCAATTATTGGAATTCAATTCCAATAATTGCAAAATCCGGGACCTCCAAATATTGCAATTATTGCAATTATTGGAATTCAATTCCAATAATTGCAATAATTGCAATAATTGCAATAATTGCAATAATTAATTGATCCCAGATTTGGCCTCAAAGCCGGGCCGACTAATTCCAATAATTGCAAAATCCGGGACCTCCAAATATTGCAAATATTGCAATTATTGGAATTGAATTCCATTAATTGCAATAATTGCAAAATCTGGGACCTGAAATTATTGCAATTATTGCAATTATTGGAATTCAATTCCAATAATTGCAATAATTGCAAAATCCGGGACCTCCGAATATTTCAATTATTGCAATTATTGGAATTCAATTCCACTATTTGCAATAATTCCAAAATCCGGGACCTTCAAATATTACAATTATTGCAATCATTGGAGTTGAATTCCAATACTTCCATTGTAGATATGAATTGATCCCAGATTTGGCCCCAATCCAGGCCAACTAATTCCAATATTTGCAACAATTGCAACTGACTT